AAGGTTTGGTACTTTCTCATAGGCCCTTTTGGTCAGTCCATGTTGAGATGGGGAATTTTGAATGGAATCTCTTGAAAGTCTCTCACAGTGTTGAGCTTAAAACTCCAGTCCTATAAATGCCCTTCATCTTCTCTCCAATGTTCCCCACAAAATCTCCAACATTGTTATTTTTAATTTCCTCTCTCTCTCTCTTTGGAGTGTTAAATTTGGAAATTAATTAATTAAATTATGTCAAGGGGCATTATAGAGCCACTTATAGTGGGAAGAGTTGTGGGAGATGTTGTTGATCTTTTCACTCCAAATGTGAAAATGAATGTCATCTACAATTTCTCCAAACAAGTCTCCAATGGCCACGAGCTCCTCCCTTCTTCCATTGCCTCCAAACCCCGCGTTGAGGTCGCCGGCGATGACATGAGATCTGCTTTCACTTTAGTATGTATAAACTTTCAATCTTTTCGTTTTCTCCTTTATTAATTAAGATAATTAATTTCTCTTTCTAACTTTTAATTTGTAGATTATGATCGACCCAGATGCTCCGAGTCCGAGTGATCCTTACTTGAGGGAATACCTCCACTGGTTCGTAATCTATAAGTTTAAGCCTTTGAGTTCATTTGGTTGTTTATTCATGTTTAAGACGGTGTTTGTTACGTTCAGGATGGTCACGGACATTCCTGGAACCACGGATGCTTCTTTCGGTATGCTTTTGATCATCCATTTAGATGTATTCACATGCAAATTGCGGAAAAATTGAAACTTGGGTTGAATTATAATATAAATACAGGGAAGGAGATGATGAGTTACGAGAGTCCGAAGCCGAGCATCGGAATCCACCGTTACGCGTTCGTGTTGTTCAAGCAGAGCGCGAGGCAGACGGTGAAATTGTCGTCGTCGTCGAGAAGCCATTTCAACACCAGAAGCTTCTCGGAGGCCAACGGCTTGGGCCTTCCCGTCGCCGCCGTCTACTTCAATTCCCAGAGAGAAACCGCCACAAGAAGAAGATGTTGATCATCATCAACTAATAATTAATTTACCTCTTTACTTTTTTACTTCCAGCATGCCCTTGTTTCTGCATCTCTCCCCTTTTAATTTGTTTCTCTAATAAAATCTCTCTTTCGCTGCTAGTAAACGTTTATATTTCTCAAAAATTAGAAATGAAAAATGACAAACCAGAAACACGAGTGTTATTTTAGAAATATTTTAAAAAGAATGGGTGATCGTTTGAGTGTGTTTATTAAGAAATGCGTTGCCTTAAACTGTTCTACATAATCTTTTCTTCCAGAAGGGTTTTACACTGTTGATCATGTTGTGTTAGTCCAAGTGTCAACTAATTTTTACTGTTCATTGCTCATAAGAATTGTTTGTAAGAAGAACATAATTTTGATGGTTATCCAATAAACTGTTTCTATTTATCTTTTTCAAATAAAAAAGTATAATTTTGAGAGTTTCAGAGTGAAGACTTATTTTAAATTATCAAATTATTTGGTAAAATATACGTATCATAATCAAGCTGACTTAGACAATGCTCCTAACGAGCCCTTTTCCTTCCATTGGGATACTCCTACCCATATATCATCCTATACTCCCATTGAAAAATACAACTTAAATTTGAATCAAAATAACATCCTCGCAATTGGTAGGATGAGATAGTTATAATCTTCATCTTCATCACATCGTAACCTCATCTTTTGCTTCGATTACCAAAGAATGTCTTTATGTTGATAGAGGTTCTCTCACCTACGTACCTAACTTATATATGTCATTCTCCAAAAGTAACTATTCATTCTATCATCAAATATCGTACTTACAATATATTTCATTATCTATAACTATCTAAACTTATCTCTAAAGTATTGATTTAAATTTAGCTATTTATCACCACATGTGATCTTTGTTCAACCCCCAAAGATTAGTGAAGAAAGAGGCTAGAATTTGGTAAACAAATTGGCAAAGGGTTATTGAAGAAAAAGAGGGGGAAGATGAGATTATTGGAGGCTTGAAAAGGAAAGGGAGTGGGATACAAATGTAGGTGAACATTGTGTTAGGGGTATGGAATGGTATGTACATAATGACTGAAGTAGGGCTGTGCGGGGGCGTGTAAGCAGGTGATTGGTTGGAATCATTTGGTTGGGTAACTTTAAGGATCTGATTGGTGACAGACACATAATAATAATAATAATAATGATAATAGCATCTAGACCAGAGGTAAGTGGTCCTGGGAAGTGGGTAACGTGGCAAGCAACGGGAGGGTCTGTGATGGTGTGTTCTGTCACCACCCAATCAATGAACAGTGACGTTTTATAAAGGGCTTTGTTTTGCCACTGTTTCCCCCCCAACTTTTTGGTTTTTTGTTCAGTATTTTGGGCGGCGGAAAAAGAGGTTTTTACTGCACTTGCATGTGCCAGTGCCATTTATTCCCCCAACAATCATATGTTTTTATCAAAAAGAGTTTTTTTTTTTCACATTATTTCATAAATATTAGGAAGATGAATCAGAAAGCCCAACAATTTAAGTAATTGGGCCGAGGATTTAGTCCATCTCTCCACCGTAGTTCTTAGGCAGGTGTGCAAGGAATGGGATTTCGTGGATTTCTAAACCAAAAACCAAACTGTAAAGTTATAACGTATAACCAGATTTTTTGAGTTGGAGAAACAAGTACATTACATCAGAAACAGTTTTTTCACGACACAAACAAGAAAATAACTCCGTCCTCCTCACCGGTCGTCGAGTCAATACCCGAACCACCCACACGACAACAACAACGTTCAGAACCTGACAATGAGTCCCATATTTGCGGTTCGTTCTTGACTAGAAACCTGTGTTTTGACGATTCTATGCTCGAGCTCTTTTCATGTTGATTCTATCAATTCTTCCCATAAGCTTTGCATTATGAGACTACTCTTACCTTTTTGACAAAAGAGATTAAAAAAGAGAAAAGGAAGACACTGAAAAGCTTGATTACCGAGCAAGCATCGTTAAGATACTTCAAGGGAAGTTTTGATCTTTTGGATTGTGCAAGAAATGAGATTGTTAACTGTCTCAACCGACTCGACGGTGAGTTTAGCTGTTGGAAGGCTATTCACCAAAATCTGGAATGCAACTGTGAGCAGACATCCACCGGAATGGCCAATTTTGATGTCCGAAGTGACCGAAGCATCTTTGCCGTTGTTTGTACAAGCATAGCTGGATAGACCGTCAGGGAGAATTGCGAATCCTGATGGTAGTAGTGACACATAAGTAGAATCTCCTCCGCGCATCACCAAATTAACCGAGGCTGTGTCGACCGGAGCATAAACAACCAGTGAGCCTGATATGTCAGTCCAAGTCTCTTGCAATATAAGCATGGTGCTCTCATTAGCATTCATGGGCTGCAAAAAGCAAAATTTTAGTAAGCAAATGAATGATATACTCTTGAGGATAAGAATTCAACATCGTTCATCATCTTCACGGAAACTATTTTGAGATTGCTCACATTGGCACGTAGAAGAGAAACACGGTTATCCAGTCCCTGGCCCTTTGAGATGTGAAGCATCTCTAGCATTGGCCTGCCATTGGATAAAATGTCCCACTCGCTCCGTAAATGCTCGTTTTGCAAGAATGCAAACAACCTCTGCTGGGCTACTGGCATCCAAACAGAAGTTGAAGCACTCAACACGATACCTGGTGGCTCACCGGGATCATCAATGCTCTTTCTAGCCATCACCTTCACATCTTCACTTATATTACCAACAACAAGTTTGTCCCACTTGTGCAAAGTTGAAGTACAGATCCCAGAACAGAAGTTGTCAACCATACGCTGTGATAGTTTCAGCATACTTCGTCTACCGCATGGTGATATTCCTGTTTTAAATCATACACATAAGATCCTGAAAGCAAACATGATAAGGAACAATAAACAAGACGAAACCGAGACCTGCAGAATCTTCAGTATGGATAGTAGAAGACATAAGAATTGCCAAACAGTCGCATTGCCTTTGGAGGGTAGCAAGCCACCGTTGTGCCCCAAAGCCGATGCCCGAACTAATTAACCGGCGGTAGAGTTGGTGCATAACAGTCTCATCATATTCCGTATGCTCAACCCATGTAACCTGAAAACACAAACCATCAGTATAATGGCAGCAAAAGGAAAGCCCCACCAAGTATTTGTTTATTAAAGAGAAAATGTTTGGTCCATTTTACCTCCAAATATCTCATTAACGACTAATTAATTTTAAGTGTTAACATTTTAAAACTCATATGGGCCACATTCTTGCTTAGCTTAGTAGTCCATCAGAGATGGAACCTATCAGAACAGTCTACGTTGTGAGCTTACTATATTGCTTGGAAATGGAGGGGAAACAATTTGAGGGTATAAAAAACAATAAAGGAGAGAGGAGCTGAAGGTGAGAGATTTCTCTGAAGACTAGCAAATAATCGTGAAGATTCTGATAGAATAAGTTCAGGAATCTAGGTGTTCCAAAACCTTGACCAGCAGATTTTATGGAATACTTTAATACATAAAAAGGCTGTCTAGTATTTTTAAAACAAGGATAAAACGTCATCATGTTTCATGAGGTTCTATGTAAGATATAAGAAGACCAGATCCAGGTCGTACAATCTCGTGGATCGAAAACAAGACATCGGTGAAAGAGGGAGCAGAATACAGGCATCAAATGAATAAAATATGCACATCATGTAATGAGGATTTTATAGATCCCATTTGATAAGGATTTTTCTTTTAGTTTTCTACTGTTTTGTTTTGTTTGTTTTCATACATTTTTTAAAACTACATCTTTAGTTTTTAAAATTTGGCTGACTAGATTGAAAAACAATGTAAACAGAAAATAAGCTTAATTTCTATAAAAATAGAAAACTAAAAAAAAAAACATTTTTATCAAACAGACCCTTTGAAATTGACCAAGATTAAAAAAATATGCAGTTTCCTTGTTTTGCTCAACTCTGATTAGTTAAGGACTTTTAAAGTACAGACAACAAGTAGCCTGTTTCTTAGAAATCCAAAAACTAGTAAATAATAGGATTGAGAAGCATCTCCTACATTAAGATATTCATAAAAGGGTGCAGATTCTTAGGTTAAATACTTTATTATTTCTCAAAAGCATCCCAAAGAAGCCCATCCTGATGGATAATACTGATAAATAAATCATGTTTGGTTGGGAAAAATCCATGTGCCAAATTATTTTAACCTATAATAGACTTGAAAAGAATGAAACCTGAAGATAAGCAATTACCTTGGAGAAACCATTAGGCATATCTTGCACGACACAGCCTGAAGGAAGCCTCCTGCAACTGAAAAATGAGTGTGAATCGGAACCTTCTCCACTAAAGTCGATGGAAACATCAACTACAGCCCATAGACCATCAGCATGCTGCTTGCAGAAGCGGAGGAACTTCAGTGTCCGTACAGGAACCAATGGGGAAAGCACTCGAAGTTCGGCATGTATCTGAATGTACCGATGTCTGTTAGTTTATCTAAAAGTATCTGTACGTTTAAGGTTGGTAGAAGAGGGGGCAAAAAGAGAAATGTACCACTTGTAATGCACCATTCCTAGTTCCGCCCATGCCACTTGATATCACATCAACTGTGGTAGCTCTAGCAATCAAGCAAGGAAACATCTCTGCCCATCGATTCTATTTTAAAGCCAAACAAATAATCTGTTATCAAAGCATGTAGACTCGAGAGGATACACAAGGCCAAAAATAAAGTAAATCATACGAAGAAAGAGAAAGACTACATAAATTTGATTGCATACATCTAAAGAGATAATAATTCATAAAGAATAGTTAATCGGGTCGAGAAAACATACTGCATCCATCAATGTCTCAACGAGTGCCAAGCTGTTGATGATGAGCATAGTATTATCTCTGGTAGCCTCTGTTGTCCAATTTCTATGCTTCATGCGAGCCGAAGAAGGAAATGTCCTTGAATATTCGTCAAGGTTCAGTGTCTCTCTGCCACCGCCATCCCGACTTTTGATCCAAAGGGGACCATCCATTTGAGCCATCTTAACCAATTCATTCATTGCTGCCAAAGCAAGATCCACATATATTGTTCTCTCAAGTGGTGTATCATTGCCTGGCATGCCAATTCCAGGCTTAGTGATAGGCACCATAGGACCAGCACTGAAAAGTCCGTCTCCCAAGTTAAGCCCCATAGGGATAGAATCGTTGATGGTACTCAAACTTCCGAGTCCGTTTCTTCCTACAGAAAGTTCCAAGCAAGAGTCAGAGCTTGGTGTAGAGCCATGACTGACAAAGGGTAAGACCGGCCAGCCCAAGAACTTGTTCGTGACAGAATATAACCGGTGCAGTTCATCCCTTAATCTGGCATTCTCAATCCTAAGCTGGTGTTCTTCAAATGATAGATGAACGGGCATTGAAGGGCCACCGCATGTATTGCACGTTGGGTTTTGAATAGCATCCTTCATCACACTATTCTCAGCTCGGAGCTTATCGTTTTCTTGCTTAAGAATTGCATTCTCATGGCGTTCTATTTGTGTCTGATACATTCTCAAAATGGTTAATTGCCACAGATCTTAACAAATAAACATAAATCATCAGGATATGCAAATGCACATGAATCATGGTTATTTACCTTCATCTGCGTTCGGCGATTTTGAAACCAAAACTTTACTTGCTTTGTCTCCAAGCCAAGCCTCCTACTGAGCTCGCTTCTTTGTTTGTCATCAGGATGTGGACATTCCTTGAAGAAACTAAACCAAACAATAAAGCAAGACAAAGAAAAGACCCAAATCATCAAGCTCGTCTATACAGTTCGGAAAAATATTACCATGAATGCACAACCAAAAGCAAAAAATAATCGAATGAGCAAATTAAGAGATATACTTCTCAAGCTCTTGGATCTGATGGGGAGTATGCCTATGATACTTCTTCTTTCTTGGCGGTTGTTCATCATTAGCATCTTGATCATCCCCAGATACGGCACCATCGATGTTATCGCTCCCTGATCTGCTATCATATTCATCTTCCCTTAACCTCACAACTCCACTCGGATCAAAGCTGTCTCCAAGCAGACACACTTCGCCATAACCATCCATTTTCCTCTGCAACATAAAGCCATTAGCAATTCATTCACAGACAAGAAAGGATCCTAAAACTAATGCACAACATAAAGTTAGTAGGAAACAATGATACATATGGAAGTGGAATAAAATGGTTCATACTATGGAGGTGGAAAGTTCAGAACTGGAAATTGGGTAAGCCAGAAAGCTTGGGTCGGCAATTGCACCACTAGGCATAATGTGGTTGTATTAGCCACGGCTCTGGAATTCTGATCAAACCACCAAAATTCAACAGATTACGCAACTTTTTTTTTTCTTTTTTGTTGTTTAGAATAGCAAGTTATCTCTCTGTGTGTGTGAATTTGAGGAATTTGACGTCTGTTTAGGAGGGTTTAAAGGTTTACAGAAATGTGAGTTCTTGGGAGATATTAGTAACCGCCTATTTGATTTTCCAGGTTTGACTATAGCTAAGCAATTCACATATTCAGCAAACTGACTGACAAGTCGACATTTCTCGATAGAGAACAGAAAGTTAAAGGTTTTTTCCTTGTCAACGCCCATGCATGAATCATGACATTTTCTCACCTCCCTGTCTCTATCTTTTGAACACTCTCTCCGTCCAGAAAAGCAGTTGCAGAACAGTACAAAAACAAAGGAACAGGACAAGAAAAGTCCTTTATTTCCTCAGTTCCTTCCAGTTCACAACTCTATCTCTCTCAAGGAAAAAAAAAATCAACCAAAGAAGGCTGATACAGTATGAAACATAACCCTAATATTCAACCTGCTTGACCCCATTATCTGTCAGAACTGAAATAGACCCAGAGAAGAGAAAAACAGAAAGAGCCTAACAAAAAGCCAAAGGAAGACAAAGAGCCAAAGGAAGAAGTTGCAAGCTTTTGTTTTCGTCTCTGTTCGTATATTCACACTGTACACCGTGATTTTTACTCTACCTAAGATCGAAGACCAAGAAAATAAAAATAACCCATTGACCTTCCTCTATCAGATAAGTAAGAATGGAAGAAAAATAAAGTACAGTGTAAAAAGTGGCACCTTTTAGATTATTTAAACGTGAGAACCAAAGCAAAAAGAGAGCAAAAGGGGGTCCTTTCTTACAAAGAGCCAAGAAATTAATGGACTTTCAGATTCTCGCGATGGGATCTGTGGAGGAGAAAAAGACAGATAAAATATACAATAAAAAGAAAAACCCTTCTTCAGTGTTCACTAAAGATGAGATTAAGACTAAAATAATTGAAAATTTAGGACAAGAACTGTAAGTACTGGAGCAGACTTACAAAGAACCTAGAGATGAATTCTTAATGAAGAGTCAAATGGGACTCCTTAATACTATTTATAAATTATTTTTATCATAAACAGAACAGGAAAAAATGGAAAAAGAAAATACCATTGGACTGTTTGGATTCTCATTCCCAAAAAAAAAACCCAAAATTTTGTCCTGTTAATTACGTTTGATTGATTTTGATTCCTTTGTTTCTCATATTTTTTCTTTCCATCAAACTGATTTTTCCTTCCATATATAAAAACCATTTTCCTTTTTTTCCAGATTCAACAAAAAAGGTATATATTTTTCTAGACCCCTCTAGTTAGGGAAGTGCAGAGTTCACTTATTGGTCATATTTTATGAAGTATAATACATTAAACTAATAAACTATGTGATTTTAACTATATATATGTAATAAAAATACATATTTTATAGCAAAAAAAGTAATGCTCAAATTTTATTTTTAAGAAAATACTTTTTCAGGACAGACGGTTGTGGATCCCACATAGGTTCCTGGGTGTCCTCTGATTGGTTGTCCTCTGTCCTGTTATGGAGTAGGAATCCGGTGTGCGCAAAACTATGTTAAGCTGGTAGGCTGCCTAATCTCGACCAATGAGGTAATGACATAGCAAAGGTCTTTTATTATTATTATTATTATTATTTTATTTTTTGCAAAAGAAATAAATGGAATCTTTCTCGGTTGCGTTAGAAATTGAAACGCCTGATTTTCATAACTTACCATGATTGTGAGTTAGCAAATTTGTCCTCTTCAAGTAGAAAATATGAATATTTTTTGTGGTATAATTATTTTATGTAATATTTTCAGTTTGGAATGTATTTGTTTTCCATGTAGGATCAAACTCAGTATGAATTTTCTTTGTTTTTGTTTTTTCTTAAATAGAAGAAGGGTAGTGAAGTATCGAAATCATTATTGAAATGATTCATTATCTCCTTTTGTTTGATAAAGGTATGAGTCTATATTGAAAAAAATTACCTTTTCGGGAAAAACACTAACTTTAAGTTATCTTGTGAGTTCGATCTCCTATCCCTCATGTTATACTAAAAAAAACTTTAAGGTCATTGTATAACGCGATTGATGTATAAACATCGCAACATCACGACCTTAAAATAACATTTTGGTGTTTTCCACCCGAATATGTTACACTGAGTTATTTAATTCGAATCATATCATGATAGGGGTTTAAGGTCTTGATGTTCATTTTTCAATTGTATTACACAATGACTGTAACAAGATCGCATTGTGAATACTGCATTCTTGATTTCAAATACAGCCACGATAGTGTCTAATATCAATATTCATCTTCATATCATATTACATGAAATCCTATCACAGTAATAGCCACTCAATAATCCCATCAATTCGCTTACAGTCAAACAACTTATTTTCATAACTTTGTTCAATTATATGAATCGACTCATGCTCAGAATGGATAGAGAATGATCTTCATTTATGCTCAAAAGAGTTTAAAACTAAATTAAAAAATGATCCATTCATTTCTACCATAGAGTCCAATCATTTTAGTTAGATACTTTTAAGTCAATTCCTTAAAACGCATCGGGACAAAACAAACCTACAGGAATATTTTTCCAATTGGACAATGCTTAAGTTTGCAAAATATTTTTAAAAGTTTATTTGTCATGGCATGTATTTGTTGATAAAGTTGAAGAAATTGTTTCAGCAACGTTCATTTGATACCAAGTTGCCAAATTTTTATGACTCACTATTCATTCTCATTAAGGAAATCTAGTTGTAAACACAGTAAATTCCAAACCAGATTTACAATGGGAGTGACCCAATTGTCCTTTTCCTTGAATCAATGTGTAAAAAAAAAAACAATGTGTAATCTTATCTTAGAAATACATTTTGGAAAGAGAAAAAGTTTTTCACATTTCCAAACATTATCTCAATGTTTCTACAGTTCTTCCAATATCAAAATGTTCAGCCAAATGGTTCAGGAACTTGATTGTCTCGGCTTCTGTTTACTTATATGAACCCGTTCTTTGCCAGTTCTAAAGGAAACTTGGTAGACACATTGTAGAAGAAAAAACTCAAAAACTGAATGTTCGGTTCAGAAGGGACATGAATCTAACCAAAGATGAGATTAAGCTCAGATTCTCGTTAATGTCAGTCAGTAAAGAGATACAGAGACTTTAAAAACAGCAGCTTGGCTTCTATGACAGTAAAACTTAACTAACAGCAGCTGATGTGCCTATTTACTGCATGATAACAATGGAGCAAACCAGCCAGCCCGACCATTGTTGATAATATCCAAAAGAATATACAATTGTGCAACGATGGTGAATGAAATACGAAGCGAAGTTTCATGTTAATAGCTAACTATAAACGCGAAAAAAAAGTAGGAGAGAAATTCTATGTGCCATAGAATACTTGTATGCCATGCTCAACAGCCAAACAGCAGTGAATATAAAAACAGCTAAGTATATACTTCAATGACAGATGCACTCATTTGAAGCGGCCTTCACCTGATTCCGAATGAGGTTTCTGAATCGTGTCGTTGAGCAGCATCCACAATTCTGGCTTTGCTTGATAAGCACCACATCAAGCTTCAAACAAGATTGAGCATTTGAGCAAAGCCAAACCTTCTGCCCATTGTCATTAATATCAAAGTACAACAACAAAATTTATTTTTAGTCAATAATGTCAAAAAGCAATGAATGTTACTCTCATGACCATTTGAAGAACTTTGTTCAGCATGTTGTATCCAAGCCTTTTCAAAGAAAATGAATCTCCTAAAAGTTTGCCTTTCCTTTCTCCCCAATGTCTATCAGTTCAAATGCCTTCTTTATATCGACAACTTTCTCTATTACAGATTGTTCAATTCAACAATTTCCAAAGGGAAGGAAAGTTCAAAAGTTGAGGTATATGAAATATTCATTCATTAATGATAAAAGGGAAACATATGTGGAAAGTACCTTGCAAATTCATTCTTCAGCGGCTCTTCGACATGAAAGACTTGAGTTTGAGATATTTTTGGCATCAAGAGTCCGACGGTTTAGAGCAGACAACAATTAAAATGGATTAAAGAATGCATTGGTCATATTAGAGGTGTTTATACTATATCTAGTTCCTCCTATTGGCATCTGCAGGAATAACTTCAAAGAACCCAACTCATGAAGGAAGTTTTGTTAAGTAAACATCATATTAAATCTTTATTATAAGAGTCAACTACATGAATAAATTTTTCATGCAGAGACCTCTACTTCTACTCCAATCAAAAGCCCAAATAGGCTTGAGAATTGCAATAACCACGTAAACGTAAAGTTTGGCAGGTATCAAATTTCTCTCACTAAAATTTATATTTGATCTAAAAGAATGAAATAAAACATATATGCTATTTCCTAATAAATACATGCTTAGGAAGCCTGAATCTGCTTCCTATGAATCTTGTCACAAAAATGTGAGTTGTACACGTGCCATATAAATAATAAAAGAATTACCAATAATCTCCACAGGAGCAAGAACCATCCCTGAAATGGTGGAATCTATTTATGTCTCTAATTATAATCTCCCGTGCAGAGACTTTGCAGATGAATTTGAATGCAGTATGACAATCAATACAAACCCTCAGATTCTTCTTAACTCTGATGGGAGCCCCTGGTGGAGTTGCAATCAACCCAAAAGCCACCGCTAGTTTCTCACTGTGGTGCCATAAGAGTTGTTCTTTTTCAATTTGTTCTACATCATGCAGATCAGTCTCAATCATGGGAAAATATCCCGCTTTATTCAGAAGTTCCCGCAAATCGTCAAGTTTTGCATATATTTCTTTACTCCTAGGATGGCTTCTATCTCCAACGATGAAGGTGTACACCTTATCTTTCACCTCAATCCAGCTCATCCCTGGTTCCTTCTTCAGTGAGCTGTCTTTCATCAATCTTCTTACCTTTGCAACATTATCCCACATTCCCTTCGATGCGTAAATGTTTGCTAGGAGTACATGGGTTCCAGATTTTTCGGGTTCAAGAGCTACGAGCATCTCAGCAGCCTGTCTACCGAGCTCAATATTTTTGTGAATTCTTGCAGCACCAAGCAGTGCCCCCCAAACAGCAGCATTTGCTTGAAATGGCATCTCTTTTACAAGCTTCATTGCCTCATCCAATCTCCCAACTCGACCGAGGATATCAACCATACAAGCATAGTGCTCTTGCGTCGGTACAATTCCAAACAATTCTTCCATTAATCCGAAAAATCGACGAGCCTCTGTCACCAAACCAGCATGATTGCATGCAGAAAGGACGCTGACCAAGGTTATGTGATTTGGAGGGACACCATCTTTAAGCATCTGATAGAACAGTTGGAGGGATTTTTCCCCATGGCCATGTTGAGCAAGTCCTCCAATCATTGCAGACCAAGATACAATTCCTCTCCAAGGTATCTCAGAGAAAATGCAACTAGCATCATCTATACTTCCACATTTTGCATACATATTAACTAGTGAATTTCCAGCAAAAACGTCTGATAGGAATCCACATTTCAGGACATGGACATGAATTTGTTTTCCTTGTTCATATGCTGATAAATTTGCACATGCGTTAAAAAGCGAACTGAAAATGAATGCATCAAGCTTCATATCTTGATCTTGCATTCGCAAGTACATCTTTAGAGCCTCCTCTCCCAGGCCATATTGGGAATAAGCTGTAATCATTGATGTGTACGCTACCAGATCTTCTGCAGGGCATTCTTCAAAAATTTTTGCTGCATCTTCTAATTGACAACATTTTCCGTACGAATCAAGGAGGCTGTTTGCAACATATCCATCATATTGATAACCTGATTTGATCGATATCGCATGTACTTGTTCGCAAAACCCAATGGCCTGAGAGCCAGCTGTAGATTTGAGGATTGTTGACAATGTGGTCTGGTTGAATTCTAAACCGTCTTTATACATCATTGTGAAGAGAGATATAGCTTCCATGTCATACCCACTATTGGAGTGACTAGAAATAATAGAATTCCAGGAAATCAAGTCCCTTTTAGGCATTAAATCAAACACCATCCTTGCCTCTTGTATCAAACCACATTTGGAATACATATCTATCAATCCGACACTCACAAACGAATCTGATTCCATATCCATCTTCATCAATGCTGAGTGCAACTGCCTACCTAATTTTATAAGCCCGATCCCGGCACAAGCTTTAAGAGCACTTGATAGGGTAAACATGTTAGGAGTCACTCTAAAGCTTCCCATTTTCCCAAATAATTTAAGAGCTAAATCATTATATTCATGAAGAACACAGCCAGCAATTACAGCATTCCATGAAACAATATCGGGTTTCGGAATTTCATGAAATACGGTTATTGCAGCCTCAGGACATCCAGCTTTTGCATACATGTCAAGAAGTGCATTTGTAGAAAATGGATCAGTATCATATCCAAGCTTTATCAAATACCCATGAATTCTCGTTCCATAATCTTCGTCCTCCAAACCGGCACAAGCATTCAATACAGTGGAGAGACTAAATTCATTGGGAGTAATTCCAGTGGAAATCATCTCTTGAAACAAATTAATTGCTTCTTTAAAGAAATCAATCTGCACATAACAGGAAAACAATGCATTCCACGACACAACATTTCGGTCTGGAATTGCCTCAAATAGCTTCTTCGAATCACCAAACTCCCCACATTTTGCATACATAACGACCAAAGTGTTGGCAACAAACACATCAGACTCAAAACCAGTAACCAAGGCAATCCCATGAATCTGCTTCCCCAATTCCAAGTCCCTCGTCAAATAACAGGCTTTTAAAACACTAGGGAAAGTGAACTCATTGCCCTTCACTCCCAACAAATACATTTCATAAAAGGTCAAAAGGGCTTCTTCACCACGCCCATTCTGAGCATACCCAGATATCAGAGCAGACCAAGAAACTAAATCCGGCTCTGTACTGTCCATAACAAGTTTTCGGGCAACTCGAAAACACTGACATTTGGAGTACAAATTTATCAATTGGTTCCTTAGCCCAGTGTCTCTACACAATCCTAACCTGATCAAACGAGCGTGGATTTCCATGCCCGAGCTCACATCCTTGGAAGCAGTAAACTGCAATAAAAGCTTGGAGTAGGATATGGATGGAGTATTGCTACTACCATTTAGAATAAACCCAGAAACATCGTTGATTCGTAGGTAGCTCATACACCTAACCGATGGGTTGATAAAATTGGTAGAAGTGAAAAAATGGGTAACGGGAGCAAAGGGTTTAAGAGGTGTGCAAAGAAAGCTCCGTAAAGAATTAAGGAAGGAAAAATTGACGGGCCACATGATAGAATACAATCTATTTGCTCATTCAAGAAACTAAAGTCACCTCTTTTACCTCCAGATTTTCGGCTGCCGACGATTTCTGCTTCTGACTGGGCTTGAATCCAACTCGGCGATGGACTTTCCAGTACGAGGATTGAGGGGGAAGTCTATAGACCAACCCCGCCGCCGCACGCCAAGACAGAAAAGAAAAACCCGCCTTTGAATCATCTGCTAAGTGCTAATATTACTTGAAAAGCTGTGAAAGAGAAATATTGGAGCTTGACAGTGCCCTGCCTCCCCGGTCGTCTCTACTTTTCCTTGTCCATTGGCTGTGAATTGAACTAAATGTTGGAGCTTGACGCTGAAGAAGTGGTAACGTAGGATTCTCCTTGAATGGCCATTGCCCACCACCACTGTAGTCGCCATATTTGCAGAGGCGGCAGGTCTAAAGTTTGAGACTTTGATCCTCCCAAAGTGGGGGTTGCATTGCATGTATGATGAAATAGAATTGTGAAAACATTAACTTCAGAAACTTTTTAATTTCTAGTTTTCAATTTTATTAAAAACTCTAAGCATATCTTTCTTATTTTTCATTTGTTATAAATATTTTTAAAATTATATGAAAATTTTGAAAACAAAAATATATTTTCAGTTTCTGTTTCTAATTTATTTCAAAATATAAATAAAAATATTTTTTATCATTTTCTAATACATAGATATTGAAGTCCATTTGATGCTATTATTCTAGAAACAAAAAGCAAGAAATTGTAACGATATAGATGAGCCTATATTATTCTTTTCTATTATTAGGTTAAATGGTAAGATTAACTCTCCAATTAAGTCTCAATCAACTTTCAAGTAAAATGACATCTATTCCAGAAGGAAAAAAAAAAGACATCTATTCCTTCCTTCTTACTAAAAGTTCAAATTTTTGCACATTTACATTTGTTGTGCTAAAAAAACTTTCTAATCGTATAACTAAAATAACCTTAATTGTATTTATTTAGTTGTGTAGTTAATTAATCTATATGATTAAAAAAACATCTAATATATTATTCAACTTTCAATTTGATGTTAATAGTTTCGCGACCGAATCCTTTTAATATGTTTTTTAAGTACAATCCTTATTACTTATATGATATGTCAATTGTGTATTATTTCATAATTATGTGAGAGATTGATTAGGTTGCCTTAAATAGTATATCTATACCATCATTAAAATAATGGAGTTGATGACATGGACCTAAGTGACTAATCATTATTTTTTTTAAGTATGAAGACTAAATGATAATTTAACTAAACAAACACAACAACATAGGGACAAAGCTTCTCATACCACCTTAATATCAAATTAATGTTGGTTCAAGTATCTCTCTTTTATATATATATTTATATTCAAATTGTCGAGTTAGCATCATTCAATTGGTAAAGACATATATCACAGAATAAAATATAGATTAGAAAATTCGAATTCATGATATTTTAGTTATAGATAGATATAAATTATCACGGGTCTATGTTGATGTTAAACGTTATTTTTTTCCTTTTTAAAGTTTATAAGGAATGCGACCTTGAAAAGATAACAAAAGTGTGTTGAATATTTTGAGAGAGAAAATATTGTTAAACAAACCATGATAAATAAAAAGCGTCTGGTGGATAGTTGGTGTGTTTGAGGTCACGTCGCAATGATGAGCAAACGACATGTCGTCTTAATGGCTTGAGCTTGTGAAATAAAAATTGTACGATCAGTCTCCAAACCGTTGACGACCCCATTTGGGGCCGAAGAAAAACGCGCTAGTGGTTCGGATTAACCGCGAAAGGAAACTTCTTTGTAGTGGGATGAAGTGGGGGAATCAACAGAAAGTGAAACCCCACGTACCCACTAGAACTAATCCACCGTTTTCGTTCACAATCCCATCAAAATGCAACCTTCAACCTAAACCATTAACTTCTAGATTCAACGAAGACATGAATTCGGCCACTTGAATGGAAAGAAATTACTGGTCGATCTTGCGAGGGCGTTTGAGTTTGAAATGCAGAGGATTCCCGATCAATATGGCAGTTGATCTCTCTTCCATTTCACTCAATAAAGACCCTCCACCAAACTTCATCACCCCAAGTTTTCGCTGGCGCGAGACACCCACATCCAATTTTCGATTCTGAGTTTCAGGGAGAGAAAGTATGGCCAGGCAGGATATTGAGAGCCGGGAAGTGACCGGAGGAGTAGCGAAGAACAGAGGAAGCAGTAGCTTCTCATCTTCCTCGTATTTGATTGAAAATACTGAAACCCAATGGACTTCTTGGCTTGTTCCTATGTTTGTTGTGGCTAATATTGCTGTATTCATTGTGGTTATGTATATCAATAATTGTCCCCAGCACAATGATGGTCTTGAGGGGAAGTGCGTGGCAAGGTTTCTGGAGAGGTTCTCTTTTCAGCCTTTGAGGGAAAATCCCCTCTTCGGCCCTTCTGCTGCTACGTAAGGCTTGGTTTACTTCCCTTGATACCCATATACCAATTTTTGGTTTCACTTGATTTTCTCTTGTTATATTTCCCTCGTGTAAGAATTGTCATCATCGCGTTGCTTAATTAAGAAAATTTAAGTGCGGAATGTTATGTTGAATATGAGGTTTGGTTGTATGTAAATGTGAAATTAAGTTTTGATGGTTTTGGTTTCTTACAACTCCACTCAACCATGTGTTCTTGTTATTGTGAAGTTGTTTTTGGTTTCACTATTGTTATTAGTATGGTCTGACTCTCATTTGCTTAGTTTACCTTTACTTAAGAAGCTCTGCGAGCAATCATTTCGGTGAAAATTTGGCGAATTTTTGCTGGGAGCATGGTGGGATCTTAATATTATTCTCATAAATTGCTTCTTTTTATTGAATTTCTGATGACAGATGTGTAGATCTTGTTTTCTCTTGTACTTCTTCATAATGCCTTACAAATGTTGGATGACTTGTCTAAGTAACTTCGTAGATGAGCAGGAAGAACAATGTATAGTAGTTAGCTTTGTAAGAATTTACTGGTAGAAGAACTAGCTTTCAGCTTTTTGGATGCGCCTTTTTCCAAAATTGAACTATGTGGTGAACTTTCTTCATCTCAAACTGGACGTTGTTATGCGTTTTGAACTTGAAAGGAACCAATCAAGAGTTTTTTTATTTTATTGCAGATTGGAGAAGATGGGAGCTCTAGAGTCGACAAAAGTTGTCAATAAACATCAAGCATGGAGGTTGATCACCTGTATCTGGTTACATGCCGGTGTATTTCATCTGCTTGCTAACATGCTATGCCTGGTCTTTATCGGCATTCGCCTTGAGCAGCAATTCGGGTTTGGTATGTGCAGTTTTTTCTTTTGTAAGGTTAATCTACTTGATAACTAAGCTAACGAGTGCTTGTAAATAGCTGACCTAAAGAAATCATGGCTGCAATTATAAGTCAAATTGTATTCGTATGCATTTTTCAAATCTTCTCCAGGTGATTAAAATTAAAATGTCTACTTCCATCCATTTCCCTTTCATATATTATGTGAAGATCCTTGCAAGATACATTAACATATAGCGTACTACCTATTATAATAATTTTTTGTTGGCTGTTCTTGGAGAATCAAGCCCATGAAGTATATTTTCTTTTCACTCTAAGAGAGCAGCCTTTATGCTTCCTTTAAGGCTTTTCTTTTCTGCGGCAGAAGTATCTCCACTGTAAGCTGATTTCTTCCTTTCATCACATATGTGCAGTGCGAATCGGAGTTATTTACTTGCTCTCAGGATTTGGAGGGAGTGTTCTTTCTTCTTTGTTCATTCAGAACAATATCTCTGTCGGTGCTTCTGGTGCTCTTTTTGGTCTTCTTGGAGCTATGCTTTCAGAACTTTTCACAAACTGGACTATCTATACCAATAAGGTTGGAGATTTTAGACCAGAGAGTCAAATGCATTACCTTTTACATGATAAGTCGAACATAATTTCTCTCATGTTGTTTATGTTTGTTCTTGTGATGGATTTGGCATTTCTTACGACTATAGGTTGCAGCATTGATCACACTTCTGGTTATCATTGTCATCAATCTCGGGATTGGAATTCTGCCACATGTTAATAACTTCGCCCACATCGGTGGATTTTTTACTGGATTTCTGCTTGGATTTGTATTGCTTCTCCGTCCCAAGTACGGATGGTTAGAGCAGCCAAATCTTCCTGGTGGAGTTGGTCCGAGCTCCAAATACTACGCTTACCAATATGTTCTATGGATTGCTTCGGTAGTTCTATTGATTGCAGGGTAAGTCCATCTTCATGTTTTCATATATAGTCGATAAAATCTAGATATAGATGTGCGTCATAGTGGCGACTTTGGTTTTGCTGCTTTTGATAATTGTTTTACTATCAAGACAAGGCTAAGTTCTTCGCATAACTGCATACCTATTGTTTATAAATATGCAGATCAACCACTGCACTTGTGATGTTGTTTCGTGGGGAGAATGCGAATGATCGCTGCCATTGGTGCCACTATTTGAACTGTGTTCCCACCTCAAGATGGAATTGTGATTAGAAACATCTTTAGATATTTTAACATTTGGATCATTCTATTTCCCCTGTAAATGTGTAGTTCACTAGAAATATAGTTTACACTTACAGTTTCTAGTTGCTTGGCTGAATAATGATAATGGTGCTATATTGAAGTATATGTTATTTATATATTGTGTTCTCATCACATCGTAGTAATGGTTTGTTTTGTTTACGGCAACTTTGGCGATTTAGCCGATCTGTAGGAAAAAACAACTGCCTGCCAAATTATGGATCATAACCCATAATAGTTCTAATCTCATTTTTGCCTTCAAGGAGATTTCTTATCCTTACAATTCAAGGGCGGGAAAATGGACCTGGTAATCATTTTTCTGCATAGTTTAAAACTTTATTGTCAAGATTAATGCTTCAGACTGCAGAAGAACTTTAGCCATTGCTCAACCGTGACAGCACTTGTCAAGAGCCGCTCGGTCTTCATGAATGGCTCGTCGGGATGCAATGATGAGCCTCAAAGATCTTGCTATTTTCCTGGATTGCCAGACCGATTTTAGTAATTTCCAGATGAGACTCCTCATATTTTAACCACAATGCCCCCGCAGAGGCTACCAGCTTACCTGGCTTTGACAGAGTTTCAAAATTTCTAACTGCAGGTTCCATCTCTCTCTTCCTGCACTCTTCAAATCTCTGACTTCAAATTCAATATTCATTTTAGTTTCTTTAGTATTTTATGAATTCTTACAGGGAAACATGACCATTAGGGATAGCATTTTAGTTTCTTGTGACTGTTCAAATTGAAACATTAACTTCCTATCCTGCATTAGACTTGGATAGAATGATGGGCCAACACCTTAAGTTCATCAATGGGCTGTAAAGATTGATTTTAGTTCCTTCATAGGCAACAGTAGAATTGTATAAAAAAATTGTTCTTTGTTATAATTTTTTCATTGTTTGAATTGGGCCTAAAGAAGCACTTAGTAGGACAAGAAAATTATCACTTATGATGACTCTTTGTTGGATTTGTCTTTAATACTCTTATAGTCTTATGTTTACATTTCGAGTCTCTTTTTTCTTCTTTTATACTGTTTTCATTGTCAAGCATAGCCACGTGAATTGCATTAGTAGAAGACAACAAGAAGGATTCAGAAAGAAGGCCTTCCTCAGCTGTACTCAAAAAGAGAAATAGTAATATTTAGACTTTCTAGTGGTAAACATTAAAAAAATGGAAGAAATTTTGAAAAATATGTGAGTTACTACTACTACAGAGCCTATTTCATCTAACATAAAAAATGGGATTACAAACAACTTCAAGTTCTTCAAGAGGCTTAAACTCTCCTCATCTTATTGAACTCTAGAATGGTATATTCTCTGCTTGCCACCTCACTCACTGCTTATTCCATGCCTTTACATAACATAATGTTATATTATTTGTTACTACAAAATGCCACATGTGCACGAGTTTAAGAGTTCTCTCATTCTGAACTACATTAGGATCTCATCCACATTCTTTGATGATCCTATTAGAAGTGAACAATCCTAGGAGTGCAAGTCTGCAACTTAATTTCCTTTCGAATATTACATCATAAATATTAGGTGAAGATGTAAACTTTTGACCAATTGAAGAGGCAGAGATGCATTAACCATTAAACTATATTATGTCTAAACAGTGTAAAACAAAATCATAGAAAAGACCTCATTTAATTGTGCTTCTGTAGCTTTTGAAGATATCAAATAGTTGTATCTTTTCTTTTTCAAATTTCAATCATTTCAAATGGGAAAACTCAACTGAATAATCCAAAGAGAAAAAGAAATTGCCTCTTAACAACTGACATGATTTTGCACATCAGATTTTGTCTTGAGGCTGCCTTCCATGATGATTTTCTGGAGGTGGAAGGGTCAACCAGACAGGAACTGTTATAATTGCATTGATTTTTAACTTCCAAATTAATTCAACCATTTGGAGAGCAATTAATTCTCTCTTTTAGAAAAGCAAGCTGCATTGCATGCTCTCAAAAACAGGCCCTTTTCACGTGAGACTGAAAAAGTTTCATCCTTTTGCTTTAATCTCCAATGGTCCCATAAAGGAATTCATAAGCTGATATTACCAGTAACAATGAAGAATCGAGAAGGAAAAAGAAAACAGAGAACCATTATAAACTGCTTCCACTTCATTATCTCTTTCTTCTGTGTTTCTGAGGTTTTCAAAAATACTTTTTGCCTTAATGTGCTTTTCGTTAGTTAAAGACATTTTTACGCTATTCTAAAAGTCATGTCAAACTCAATCTAGGAGATGGTAAAAATTTTGAAAAGCATTTTTAGTGAGTAAATACAACTATTTGGAAACAACCCCATCTACTGGAGCTATTCATACTACTCGAGGACAAGTCACATTTGACAGTGAAATCTAGAGACATCTTAACCGAAGCTCTTGTACCTTAATATTCTCCCTCTCTCTCACTGTGTAACTCATTGGCCTGTTGTGAGTATCCGAGGCTGCGTTTTGTATTCACCATCCTATTTTGAATGCATAATGCATTGCAGCAACTTGCTGTGGTGTGGTCTTGTGGCCGCCGAGACACAAAAATTTGTTTAAAAGCGAACTTATTTAAAGTGGTTTCATTGTCCGTGAATGCATAGTGATTTTTTACAACTCCAAATTGCGCCATCTCTGTTGCCTTTTGAAAACACCTCTCTCCAACTTATTAATTGGTCTTATTTTTTCACCAAACATTAGCTTTTTCAACTTATGAGATCTGGATTTTTTCCCCATTTGCCACGCCCGTGATTTCCTTTTTGGAGTAGACTATATATTACATTTCCACTTTCAAATTTAGTCTGTTTCTAAAGTTCAGTTCCTGTCAACTTTGTAATGATGTTGATATGATATTTTACCATATGGTAACTTTTCTACTTGAAAGTTGTTAGAATAGTAGCCATGGCTGTTGCACTTTGATTCGTAATTATATGGAACTATTTTTGGAAGGATAGTTAATGGATTTGAGGAATCAATACGTTGGTTTTTAGATCATATTCTCAGCGTGGATTTTGAAGGCATGCACATAACATATGCAGACTTGGGAGGAATGTTCTATGGTTCTAACTGTCGCTGTGTGGTCTGTTATACATTGTCACTCGTTATTGTTTATTTACAACGTGAATCCACCTATCAGAATACTCAATCACAGCTGAAAATTGAATATAATCTCCTAGAACATGAAAGATTCCCAGATCAAGGTTCATCGAAGAAGTTGCAAAATTGCAGCAGTGTTTGAAAATGCACAGATTGTAGAGATGAACAGAGGTTGATGAATGGTCATATTGGCGTACAATTAAAATTTCAAAGTCATTGGCTAGCACTCGAAACATGGAAGTATTGTCTATTTGTGGTCAACAAGTTGTAGACTAAACATCAGAAGTGGTCAAATAATTACAACAATTACAGTGCTACTGAATAAAGAAAGGCACACGCACACACACAACATAAACCAAAAAAAAAAAGATGGAAGGAAAGTTACAAAACAAACAAAGATCATCTTGATTTGGTACTTGCAAACTTAGCCATGCGGCCAGCTACAGAATTGACATTGTTTGATGAGTTGGGTTCATGGGAGATACCGTTGTTAGAAAAGCTCCCTGCATCCCAAGATCCCTGAGCATACCACTTGTTCGATCCATATTTCTCAAACTCGACCCTCTGTTTCGGGGCACTTTGCGATCTGACTTTTGCTTTCGACGACTCTGTGTTAGCCATATAGTTTGGATAGCCTGCATAGCCGCTAAAATATCCCCATGCGTACTCGCTTCTTGTTGGCGACAAGGTAGCTCTCCTTGCGCTATTTCCGCGCCTGGATGAGGCAGAATGCACTTGCGGACTATTTTCTGCTGTTCTTGGAGCTGCTTCATATTTTCCAACAGGGAATTTTAAAGAGCTCAAGGATGCTTCACCCGATGAAAGACTTGACATTGGATTTGCAGCCTTTGACGAGTGTTTCAATGGGGAGTCGACTGTAATAAAGCTCTGATTTTTGAAATCTGGAGCCATTTGAGAATTCTTAAAGCCGCTGATGTTGCCTTGTTGGGACTTCAAATGAGGTTTCCATGTATCTACTTCAAGGATTTTGTCAATTTTCTCATCTTCAGCATGAATATTTTTGAGTGGCATATCTCGATTATTCCACAAGTTTTCTTCCATCCAACGGTCTAACCAACTCGACCCGACTTGCGGTCTATCAATAACAGTGCCATCCTTCAAGTTTGCATTGGAACCACATCTCTGCAAGAGTTGGTAATGAGAGTTGAAAATAAATATTACTCTTGGGGTTAAAATATTCAAGCATCAGAATCTGATCGCAATATCAGAGTCTGCAATAACTTGAATCAATTCAAGCATAACAGAATATAAAGCGCAAATATGAATGAAAATCACACCAGAGCTTAGAAAAACTAAAAAAAACAAAAGCCATCCAGCTACAAATGACTTTAACTCTAATACCTTCAGAAGAGTGGAGTTGTCAAATTAACTGTGATGGACACAGAGTTGATGTTCATTTCCGTTGGGGATCGCTTGGACCTACCAAAAGAAGGAAGGTAATAGTGAGCATTTTCAGAAAAAAATAGAGCTAATTAAAATGCTAAAACTTTAGTGTATCAAACGAGTAACCAGCAGAGAACTTTTCCTGCATATATTATTGCATTTGCAATGAAGGAACAACCAATTCAAATATTGGTTTTGCCACTGCTGAATATTATTATCGTTTAGATCCAAGTACAGAGTAAAATGCATTTTCAATAGAAATTACCGCGGGTGGTATATTATATTGTGATTATATTCAGAATTACTAGACATTACATAAAGTCAGGAGGCAAACAGAAATTCAACGATTTGGTTTACCAGATTCCAGGATCTTTTCTATTGAGTTGAACCCACAAAACAGGAGTTCTAATTCATTCTAAGCTTTATGGTTGTAGCAAGCAATGAAGCAAATGTGCAACAGCTCCTTTGGAGCTCGAAGAAGACAATGTGCTACAATGGCATTAACAAAAGCATCAAAAAGAAGGATTAAAATAGGATGACGAACACGTACATGTACATGAGCGAGTGAGGACTTTCTGGTAGAATGCACCGAATCGGATAAGTTTGAGCGACCAGCACGAGCTCGGGTCTGCAATCTAACCAGTGTCTGCATCCGCCGTAGCATGTCAGCCATTTGCTTTCTCACAATGTGACCTCTCACCAAAGCTTGAAGCTTTACTAACGCTTTTAGTGCCCTAAGTGCCCTCCTTGCCTACAAAGTTTCACCCAAAAGTTAGACACAATAATAGCCAAAACTCTTTCTGCAACTCATACTAAAAAAGTCTCTTGAATTACTATTATTTGGTCAAATGAATGTGGAAGGAGCCATGATGGGGGAAGGGGAACAAAGCGTAAAAGAATTGCCAGCAATGCCAAAATGCAGCTTTTTTTAAAAAAAATGCAGCTTTTTTACAACCATTTGAACAAAACAAAGGCTATGGAGTCACTTTCATTATTATAAGCAGACCATTTAATTAATTATACAGCAGGTATAGCTTTTTATTTCTCCCCACAATTTATGAAACAAATCCCAAAAGTTAACGTTAAACTCAAAAAAGGAGAAGCATGGCTGGCAATGATCCACTGGATTAATTATCAAGGAAAAAACCTAAACTTGAAAGGGAAGGACCCACCCCACCAATGTCATTTATAATTTAGGCAAAGAAATAGGCAATTAGTTGACAAAAGAAAGTGGAATCATGTCAACAAGTATAATCTCCTACGGCCACCACCACAAGAAATGGTCGTGATCGCCTTGGAATTGGTCGAGGAACAGCAAGATGTCAACACGTGTTGATGCAATACACGTGCAACCATTAGAACAGTGGATGGAGATACAACACAAATAGACATCCATGGACAATACGGAGTTGGATGTTCTAAGATGCTGAGATCACACATCCACTTGTGTCGGCGCACTAACCCAACCCATTTTTCCTTCTACCCACTTAATTTTCCGGGAAAATTATAAGGACCACTTCATTTTTTGTGCTTGAACTTAGCTAAGAATCAAGACCAGAACATAAAAGAAAAGGGAAAGTGAAGTATCGGATAATGGAACGTGGAGACGCAATCCCGAATGCCCATGTGAAGTTTTTTTTTTTTCTCTTTTTTCTTTTCACTGTCTGAAAAGATAAAGAGTAGCTATTCTAAAGAAATGTAGAAGTAGCCGAGTAGGTAAGTTTTTTTTTCCCCCATTTGGGTCAACAGGGAAAGGGGGAATTCAAATTTGTAGATTTGAGCTCAAACGAAATCAAATTCTAGAAAACTACGGCGAAATGCAAACTTTCTAAAAGTTAATGTTTGAAAAAATTGAAGCGAAAAATTATCTCCAGCCAAAAGCAAAACCCACTTCGAGTAACTCGAAAAGGTCAAAACTGGGGCTTGGAAACGGACCCCCCACTATTGCTAAAACTAAAATCCTCCACTATTCCAGGTCAATGGGAATGATTACAGCCATAGTGGAAGGGGAAATTTGAGGGCAAAAGAGGGAACTCACCAAATAGCCCCGAAAAGCCGACTGGATTT